TAAACAGGAGGAGCGGCAAAGGGAGATGAGAGAGAGAGAGAGACAGAGAGAGAGAGAATATCTTAAGCAGGCTCCATGCTCAGTGTTCTGACATGGGCCTCGATTCCATGACCCTGGGATCATGACCTGAGTGGAAATCAAGATCCTGATGCTCCACTGTCTGAGCCACCCAGGCGCCCTGATGTCTTCTTTTGATATCACATGTTTTCTCTGTCTCCCTTCACTACTGTAGATTCACATTTATAGATACTAGATGACTGAACCTGTCTGTACACACAGTTTCAATAAACACCAGGATAGCACCCTAACTATAATATAAAAGAAGTAAAAAGAAAGTAGTTTTTAATAACATAGCATGCATTTCAGTATATATTTCAGTCCCTGTCCGATGCATGCACGAATGTGGATGATCCCTGCAAATGCCAGGGCTATGAATGCAGAGGAATAGGAGAATATCGTCCATTGGTAGCTCAAGTACCACATCTTTCCGAGAGACGGCATGATTTTCTGAGATGTGGATCCGCGTTGGTAAAGTTTCAAGCCGGGGGCGCCTGGCTGGCTCCGTTGCTAGAGCGTGCTACTCTTGATCTCGGGGTCGTGACTTCGAAACCAAACATGGTACCATTTTTTTCTCAGTTTACACAGTAGTTGCATTCCCTGAAACAAACCAACCAACCCAATGTATATTAAAAATGTGTGAAAAAACCTTATCTGTAAAATGGAATTCGAATCTAGACACAGAGATTAATCATGAGCAGTTTTTCACTCGCGCCGTGTTGGGTGGGGCATTTGGACGTGTTTCTCAATTCTCTCTTGCGCTGGTCCCTAGTGCGGCGCAGCGGTGTGGCCTTGTCCTCTGCTGCTCAGTGCCGGAAGCATCCCTACACATTTTCATCATGCCCCCTAGGGGGTGCTGCTCCCCCTCTTGAAATCACTGACACCAGAAGAAGCCTCAGTTGTCTGCCCGTTTTATTCTGAGTCCCTGCGTGAATATTTTTTTGAGTGACATCCTTCGTGGGGTCCTGTGTCAGGAATGAAGCAGGCTGGTTCTGTTTCTCCTTTAGCGGCTGGTGCCTCCAGTGTCAACAAACGTTAAGGACTTGCTTACTTCCTCTGATTTTGTGAGAATGGCTATGTCCTATAAAAGATTTTGTAACTTTGCCACTTAAAGAAACAGAAGAGCTCATTCGCCTTCAGTGGATTAAGGAAGTACGTTCCGCCATTTGACATTCGGTTCTCAAATGTGCCTTAGGAGCTTTAAACCGTTTTATTTTCGTAGGTAAGAGCACTGTGTGCGATGGTGTGTTATTTCCAGAAGGTGGCGCTGTTTGGTACAAAAACTATTAGGTTTAGCAACTGCAGATTTTTCTAGGCTCTCCTTGTATTTAAAATTCAAACTTCATGGTGCATATTGGAAAGTGTCTCTCGTTTTTGAAAGACTTGATATGAATTAACTTGCTTAAGGCCATGGGTAGGCTGGTGAAGGGAAGGCCGTAATTCAGAATTTTACAAATTAAGTCACATTTGACTACAGGACCAGTATTTTAATCGAATAGCTAAGATGCATGCTTTTAGGCAGTGAATATTTTATCCCTTGATTTATCTGCAAATTCTGATGTCCTATTTATAGGTTTTAAATAATAAATAATTTAAATTTATTAATTTAAATAATAATTTATTTTGAAACAGTTTGACTGTTCAGAAGGTTTGCCAGCACAATACAAAGAACTCTCGTAGTTCCTTTCATCCAACCCCTCAATTGTTAATATTTTACCTCGTTTGCTCCATGGTTCACCCTTCACTCTGTGCCTGTTATCATTAGTCTTCCTCTGAGCCTTTTGAGAACTAGATGTTCCATCACCCCTAAACACTCCAGAGTCTTTCCCCCAAACAAGATCACTCTCCTACTACGATAGCATGTAACTAGCACATAACGCTGCAAATCGGGAATCTGTGTTGCTATCACATTACCGTTCAGTCCACATCCATCCATTCAAATGTCGCCAGCTGGCCAACAATGCCACTTTTTCCCTTTGTGGTTTGAGATCTTATCTAGGAGTATGTGTTGCTTAGTTTGTGGTCTTCAACCTGGACCAGTTCTTTGGTCTTTCTCTGTCTTTCACATTCTTCTTCTTCTTCTTCTTCTTCTTCTTCTTCTTCTTCTTCTTCTTCTTTTTTATTTATTTCTAGGAGAGAGAGAGAGAGAGAGAGACAGCGTGAGCAGGGGATGGTCAGAGAGAGAGGAAGTCACAGACTGAAACAGGCTCCAGGCTCTGAGCTGGCAGTCAGCACAGAGCCCGACGCGGGGCTCGAACCCACGAACCGTGAGGTCATGCCCTGTGACGAAGTCGGACGCTTAACCGACTGAGCCACCCAGGCGCCCCATCTTTCACATTCTTGGTATTTTTATAGAGTACAGACTTTACAATCTGCAGGATGACCAGCAAACTGGGTCTGATGGTTTTTTTTTTTTTAATTTTAATGTTTATTTTTCCGTGAGACAGAGCACAAGTTGGGGAGTGGCAGAGAGAGGGGGAGACACAGAATCCGAAGCAGGCTCCGAGTTGTCAGCACAGAGCCCGACACGGGGCTCGAACCCATGAACCGTGAGATCATGGCCTGAGCTGAAGTCAGATGCTTAACAGACTGAGCCACTCAGGCGCCCCCTGTCTGATAGTTCTTTATGACCAGGCTCTGGCCATACATTCTGAACACTGATTGTAACACAGTCGTGATGCTGCACACATCAGTAAGCACGTGATGTCATTTTAGTTAAAACCTGATGAGGGTGCCTGGGTGGCTCAGTCGGCTAAGCGACCGACTTCAGCTCAGGTCATGATGTCATGGTTCGTGTGTTCGAGCTCCTCATCAGTCTCTGTTCCGACAGCTTGGAGTCTGGAGCCTGCTTCTGATTCTGTGTGTCCCCCTTTCTCTGACCCTCCCTTGCTCACACTGTTTCTCTCTCTGTCTCAGAAATAAATAAAACAATAAAAAAAAAAAAACCTGATGACCTGGTGATCCTGGCTAACATTACTAATGCATCGTTGAATTCAGACCCGAATAAAATCTATCATTTGGTTTTTTTTTTATAAGATGTATACATTAGGGGCACCTGGCTGGCTCTGTCAGGAGAGCGTGTCTCTCTTGATCTCAGGGTCATGAGTTGAAGCCCCGTGTTGAGCACGGAACCTACTAAAAAAAAAAGTAGGAAAAAAAAAGCAGTGTACATTGATTTTTCTCCATACTCCAATTCTAAACTTCAGAAAAAAACACCTAAACACCTAACACCCAGTTTTGTTTATTTATTCCTTTATTCATTTATTTATTTTATTTCCAAAGTTTATTTTGAAGGATATTTTTTATACTTTATTTATTTAAAAAATTTTTTTATTATTATTTTTAAAATAGTTTATTGTCAAGTTGGTTTCCATATGACACCCAGTGCTCATCCCTAGGAGTGCTCTCCTCCATGACCATCACCCCCCCTCCCCTCCCCACCACCCCCATCAGCCCTCAGTTTGTTCTCAGCATTCAAGAGTCTCTCATGGTTTGCCTCCCTCCCTCTCCCCCACTATTTCCCCCCTTCTTCTCCCCCACCGTCCTCTTTTAAGTTCCTCCTGATCCTCCTATACGTGCAAACATATGGTATCTGTCCTTCTCTGCCTGACTTATTTCGCTCAGCATAACACCCTCGAGTTCCATCCATGTAGCTACACATGGCCAGATTTCATTCTTTCTCATTGCCATGTAGTATTCCATGGTATAGATAAACCACATCTTCTTAATCCATTCATCTGTTGATGGACACTTAGGCTCTTTCCATGTTTTAGCTATTGTGGAGAGTGCTGCTATGAACATTGGGGTACATGTGCCCCTGTGCATCAGCACTCCTGTATCCCTTGGGTAAATTCCTAGCAGTGCTATTGCTGGGTCATAGGGGAGTTCTATTGTTAGTTTCCTGAGGAACCTCCACACTGTTTTCCAGAGGGGTTGTACCAGTTTACATTCCCACCAACAGGGCAGGAGGGTGCCCGTTTCTCCACATCCTCGCCAGCATCTAGAGTTCTCTGATTTGCTCATTTTAGCCACTCTGACCACTAACACCCAGTTTTAAATAATAAGTCATTGCAAGCATTACTAAGTCAATGTGTACCAGCATTTTCTTTTTGCTGAGACCATGTTATTGATTTGAGGGGTGATTACACTGCTTTAATGATGTAGGTGTGTATTGGGGATTACCAGGTCAGAACCTCATCTCTTGGGGATATTGTGTAAGATAGTTATTGACAGTTTGAGTTTGATCACACATTGCCCAAACAGCTTGATTGGTAATTGTATTTTCTTTATTTTTTTAGGTTTATTTATTTATTTTGAGAGAGAGAGAGAAAGAGTAGGGCTGGGGCAGAGAGAAGAGGAAGAGAGGCAGAGAGAGAGAGGGGGAGAGAGAGAATCCCAAGCAGGCTCCGTGCTGTGAACACAGAACCTGACTGCGGGCTCGATCCCACAAACTGTGAGATCATGACCCGAGCTGAAATTAAGAGCCAGACGCTTAACTGACGGAGCCACCCAGGTGCCCCAGTAACTGTATTTTCTTGTGGTTTATTCATATACTTAACATATAAAAATGTAGGGGTACCTGGCTGGCTCAGTCAGACAGCATGCAATTCTCGTTCTTGGGGTCGTGAGTTTGAACCTCATGTTGGTTATAGAGATTAAATAAATAAGTAAACAAATAAATAGTCTTTTTTTTTTTAAAGGTGCTATTTCTGGTGAACCATGGCAGCTAAAAGTACCTTCTTCCTAGTCCCTTCCTGAAATGAAGAAGATCCCAGTTAATAAAAATAAGATAAAAATGTCAGGGTGCATCTTATTATTCCATGAAGTTAGTAGTAAAGAAAAGGCAAAGATATATGTAGAGTAACTTTCTGTCTGTTTTAGGATTATAACTAGCAAAAGTCAGTAGAAGTTTGGTCATATAATGGTATATTTTTGTTTTCTAGGAAAACAAAAGGATCAAGTGGCCGTCTAGATGGGATTATATTTTGGAGTCCATGCCTCGTACCTACATTCAGTGGTTTAGGCAAGTGCTTTAGTTTTATTATTTATTTTTAAGTTTATTTATTTATTTTTAATTAACTTCTACACCCAACATGGGGCTCGAACTCAGGATGTTCAGTTCAAGAGTCGCATGCTCTTCTGACTGAGCCAGCCAGGTGTCCCTAGCGGGGGAAATGTAAATACATATTTGTATTATATATACATATGTATTTTTTAAAGTTTATTTATTTTAAGAGAGAGAGCAGGAGAGGGGCAGAGAGAGAGAGGGGGAGAGAGGCAGAGAGAGAGAGTTCTGTGCTGAGAGCGAGGAGCCGGACGCAGGGCTTGAACCCATGAACAGTGAGATCTATGTACCTACATGTTTTAATTTCTTTTTAAATGTTTTATTTATTTCTGAGAGAGAAAGAGAGAGAGAGACAGCGTGAGCAGGGGAGGGTCAGAGAGAGAGGGAGGCACAGAATCTGAAACAGGCTCCGGCTCTGAGCCGGCTGTCAGCACAGAGCCCGATGCGGGGCTCAAACCCACGAACCGCGAGATCATGACCTGAGCTGAAGTCAGATGCTTAACCGACTGAGCCACCCAGGTGCTCATTTAAAAAAATTTTTTTAATGTTTTATTTATTTCTGAGAGAGAGAGAGAGACAGACAGACAGCATGAGCAGGGGAGGGTCAGAGAGAGAGGGAGTGCACCTATGTGTTTTAAAAAGCTATTTTGTTACCAGAGATGATCTTGAGGGACATTTTTTCCTCTCCTTCTTCTCACAAACCTGTCCATGTTCACAAAGAAAAAGAAAAAATAAGACGTGATTCTGACTATGGTGTTTTGAGGTGATGATCCTCCTTATATACCCATTGCCTTCTTCTCATCTTCCTGCTCTCCCTCCCTTGTCTCCTCATGATTATGATCATATGGTAGCTTTTCCAGAGTCTTCTGTTTGGGCAATTGTCCAGGTCCCATTTTATCACACCCCCAGAAGTCTCTTCAGGTAAAATTTATTTAAATGGTTTCTCCAAAGGGACTGTGAAACCAAAGGGCCCCCAGACACTGTGGGGGCGAATCTCTGTTAGTGTTCATATTTATAGCCTAATAAGGAATGCACTTTAGTTTCTGTCATGAGCTAATTTACTTACCACATTTAACAGACGTTTTAGACATCAATCATTTAAAAAAAATTTTTTAATATTTACTTAGTTTTGCAAGAGAGAAAGAGAAAGCATGTGCAGGAGAGGGGCAGAGACAGAGGGAGAGAGAAAATCCCAAGCACGCTCCATGTTGTCAGCTCAGAGCCCCACATGGGGCTCGAACCCATGAACCATGAGATCATGATCTGAGACGAGAGCAAGAGTTAGACACTTAACGGGTTGACTGAGCCACTCAGGTGCCCCCTTTTTTAAATGATCTTAAAAAAATTTTTAACTAAAAATTTTTAATGTTTATTTATTATTGAGAGACAGAGAGACAGAGCATGAGTGGGGGAGGGGCAGAGAGAGAGGGAGACAGAATGTGAAGCAGGCTCCAGGCTCTGACCTGTGACCACAGAGCCCGACGCGGGGCTCGAACTCATAAAGTACGAGATCATGGCCTGAGCTGAAGTCAAATGCCTAACTGACTGAGCCACCCAGGTGCTCCCAAAAATTTTAAGTTGAACTATAGCTGATATACAATATTATTAGTTTCAGATGTACGACACTGATTCAACAATTCTGTACCTGATGAAATGCTCACCAAAAGTGTAGTTACCATCTGTCACTGTACAGTGTGATTACAGTATTATTGACTATATTCCCTGTGCTGTGCCTTTCATCCCTGGGACTGACTGACTGACTGACTTAATTATTTGGTGAATTTTTATTTATTTTAAATTTATTTTATTTTTTTAACTTTTTATGTTTTATGTTTATTATTTTAAAAATGTTTATTTAATATTTTTGAGAGAGACAGAGAGAGAGAGAGAGAGAGAGAGAGAAGGAGACAGAGAATCCCGAGCAGGCTCTGCACTGTGGGCACAGAGCCCGATGTGGGGCTTGAACTCATGATTTGTGAGATCATGACCTGATCTGAAACCAAGAGTCAGATGCTTAACCGACTGAGCTGCCCAGGTGCCCCTAAACGTTTTTATTTATTTATTTATTTGTTTATTTATTTATTTATTTAGAGCATGAGAGTGTGCACACACATGAGCAGGGGAGGGGCCGAGAGGGTGGGAGATGGAGAATCCCAAGCAGGCTCTGCGCTTTTAGCACAGAGCCCGACTTGGGGCTCCAACTCACAAACCAGGAGGTCATATCCTGAGCCCAAATCAAGAGTCCAGCGCTCAATGCACTGAGCCACCCAGGCGCCCTTATCTATTTTCACTGAAGTAGTGTTGACACACAGTGTTACGTTAGTTTCAGGCGCACAGTACAGTGAGTGGACACGTCTCTAGTTTATGCTGTGCTCTCAAGTGTAACTGCCATCTGTCCCCATACAGCGCTGTTACAATAACATTGACTATATTCCCTATGGTGACTTATTCATTCCATTACTGGAATGCTGCACCTCTGACCCCCTTCACTCATTTTGCCCATACCCCCCCACCCCCGGCAACCACCAGTGACTTTTTATTTTATAACTGGAAGTTCGCACCTCTTAATCTCCTTCACCTATTTTGCTCCCTCCCTCCCCTCTAGCAATCATAGACATCAATCATCTTATTGGCATCTTTCCTTTCTTTCTTTCTTTTTTTAAAAATTTTTAATGTTTTATTTATTTCTGAGAGAGAGAGACAGAGTGAGCAGGGGAGGGTCAGAGAGAGAGGGAGATACAGAATCTGAAGCAGGCTCCAGGCTCTGAGCTAGCTGTCAGCACAGAGCCTGATGTGGGGCTCGAACCCATGAACCATGAGGTCATGACCTGAGCTGAAGTCGGATGCTTAACCGACTGAGCCACCCAGGCGCCCTTATTTTTGAGAGACAGAGAAAGTACAAGCGGGAGAGGGGCAGAAAGAGAGGGAGACAGAGGATCTGAAGCAGGCTCTGTGCTGACAGCAGAGAGCCTGATGCGGGGCTCAAACTCAGGAACCGTGAGATCTGAACCAAAGTCAGACGCTTAACCGACCAAGCCACCCAGGCATCCCCTTACTGGCATCTTTCTAAAACAGTGCTGGTCTTTTCAGATTCTAGTGAAGCTTTGTTGATGTGTCTGGCTTTGGCTGGGTGGTGGGATAGCAGAAAGCACTGGTTTTTATTTGGCAATAATTTTTTTGAGTAGTTTTTAAGTTTTAGAAACTATAAGAGCTGGTAGGTACATTGTTCATGGGGTCATTTCCCTGAAGCTCATAGAAAGATAAAAAGACTGCAACCTTGGTCTATCAGTTAAGAAGTTAATCAGCCATTAGTTCAACATTGATTCCTGAACTTTCGTTCTCAGTTCCTCTGGAACTGAGATTCTATTATTGATCTAATTTGCTTCTCCTTGCTTCTTTTTGGGAAAGTACTCTTCAAAAATTCTAAAATCACCTGAAGAACAGTGCTGCTTATATTGCTTTATTTGTAATACACTTTTCCGTATCACATTTATTAATATGTAATATTAATATATTGTGTATTATATTAAGTTCATTTAATATATTGTCGTGTTCAGCTTTGATCTAAGTTTAACCTAGGAAAACTGATCAACGCGATGATAGTTTGAATGCCTTTCTTTTATATGTACACGCATTTTCTTCTCACTGTTTAAACAGAGAACTCGAGGTTTAATTTCTCTTTTTTCTTCCTTAAATTTTCTAGTATTTTGAATTCCTTTGTTATCACTCTCTTCTTATCTGGCATGGTGGCTATGATTATATTGAGGACTCTCCATAGAGATATTATCAAATACAATGAGATGAGTTATTCTGTAAGTAAAAATGCACATATTTGATTCAGCAAATATTTGAACGCTTACTCTGTCCACTTGTCAATGTTATGTTTTTACTTAGGGTATATAATACCTTGAATGCAGCACATTTTGACGTCCAGCCATTTTTCTTATTATACCGAATCACAAAGTATAGAGTTGGATAGGTTCTATCAGAAAGTATAGAGGTGGGTAGGTTCTGTAAAAGTATAAGTCAGCTTATTAGAGAAGGATTTGTTACTCACTCTGGTTCTATTCCTTTTTGTGTGTTTCTGAGCTTTTAAAATATTGTTATTTAAGGTTTTCATTAATTTGGGGCATGAAATAATGTTATCATTGAGGTTAAATTTAGTTTTATCTCACTTATACTCTTTTGACTCTTACAATCATCTATGTATTGGTGAACTTTAAATTTCTTTTTTTTTTTTAAAAAGAGAATCCTTTGATTTTTTTCTTTTTAAGGTTTATTTATTTTTGACAGAGAGAGCGCAAGCAGGGGTGGCGGCAGAGGGGGAGGGAGACAGAGGATCTGAATTGGGCTCTGAGCTAACAGCTCCCAACGCGGAGCTCGAGCTCACAAACTGTGAGATCATGACCTAAGCCCAAGTCGGATGCTTAACCGACAGAGCCACCCAGGTGCCCCGAATTTTAAATTTCTATAAAAGTTGGCCAAATTCCTTCTGTATGTGAAATCATTTCACTTTCTTCATGAAATTAAGCCAGGTGTGTGCCTTATATGAGCACATACCTTCCGGAGGGCTACTGTATCACAGTGAGCCACTGGCTTCCAGTTAGCCTTTCTTTAAAAATTTGTTTTAACATTTATTTATTGTTGAGAGGCAGAAAGAGACAGAGCATGAGCATGGAAAGGGCAGAGAGAGGGAGAGACACAGAATCTGAAGCAAACTCCTCCTGGCTCTGAGCTGTCAGCACAGAGCCTGCCACGGGGCTCGAACCCACAAACCACGAGATCATGATCTGAGCCGAAGTCTGATGCTTAACTGACTGAGCCACCCAAGCGCCCCCAGTTAGTCTGTCTTTAGAGGCAAATTCATTTCCATCGAACTTTCAGAGTTCTGGTAAGTTGCTGTCACAGTGCGTGTTTACCAAAGAGTTTCTCATCTGCAGGAAGATGTGCAGGATGACTTTGGTTGGAAGCTGCTCCATGGGGATATATTCAGACCACCAAGGTATAGGATGTTGCTGTCAGTTTTCCTGGGCCAAGGAACACAAGTTTTGGTCATGACGTTTATCACCTTATGTAAGTAGGCCCCGACCGATACGTGTCATCTTAAGCATTCCTGGTGAATGGCTGTGCAATGTTAAATTTTGAACCACGTGGACAAAAAGGCTTTGAAAATACCCTAAATTTTAAGAAAGCATGTGTGTTATAGAACTAACATTTCCATCTTCTCGAAGTAAGGATACGAGTCTGAATATGTTCCTGTGTCCAGGAGCTTTCTCGGCTCCTTCAGTTCTGAATGAATAATTTATTGTGCTGTCCAATACACATGGTCCTTGCTTTGCAAAATAGAAGCTTTCTTGAAAATCAGCATGGGGGTAGATTCCTATTTTCAGTGGACTAAGAGAATTCATAATTAAAGGCTAGCATTTTGAAATGCTGTGGCACGCCTAAGTGCTGGTCTTTCAATGTATAAACAGAATGGCATTTCCAGTAAGTATCGCAATAGCTGATGGCCCCTGGCTGCGTCCATGTATAAAGGAAAAATGGAGCTTGTCAGATTTTGATAGCCAGCGTGGTGATTTTCATAAACAAGGCTGCTGTAAAAAAAAAAAGAAGTGGCTTGTTAGGTGTTTCAGATGTCAGTGATAATTTCAGAATTCGGCTTTTAAGATTATATTTTTGTGAGACCAAGTCTTGCTTTGATTTAAAATTTTTTTAAATGTTTATTTATTTTTGAGAGAGTGAGAGAGCACAAGCAGGGGGAAGGGCATAGAGACAGAGAGGGAGACACAGAATCCAAACTGACTCCAGGCTCCGACTGTCAGCACAGAGCCCGATGCAGGGCTTGAACCTGTGAACCGCGAGATCATGATCTGAGCCAAAGTCGTATACTTAACCGACTGAGCCACGTCGGCGTCCCATTGCTTTGATTTTTTAAAAAAAAATGTTTTATTTATTTATTTCTGAGAGAGAGGAGAGAGAGAGAGAGACAGCACGAGCAAGGGAAGGTCAGAGAGAGAGGGAGACACAGAATCTGAAACAGGCTCCAGGCTCTATGTGGGGCTTGAACCCACAAACTGTGAGATCATGACCTGAGCTGAAGTCGGATGCTTAGCCGACTGAGCCACCCATTCGCCCCTAGCAAATTTCTGTGGGAAAATGATTTGCTGTTTATGGATTGATACTGCAGTAGGGGGAATTGTTAGTTTGTTTAATTTTGATTTAAACAGTGAGATAAAGACTAGATCCACCTCGGAAGCTGAACTTCATTTGCCTCGTATTGAAAATCACACCTCTTCATTACGAGAAAATTGTCATTAGTTAAGTGGTTAACATTCATTCACAGTGCCACTTATGTCCTCACACAACAGAATTTCCTTGTGTGCCGTTACCCATAATATGTCTTCATCAGCGGGTCTTTAAGTTTATTATAAAGCTCTGTGTGCTTCTGAGGCTATTATTGTAACTGGTTTGATATTTCTTTTTTGTGCCTTTAGTTCTGGCCTGCCTCGGTTTCCTATCACCCTCCAATCGAGGCGCCTTAATGACCTGTGCCTTTGTGCTCTGGGCCCTTCTGGGAACCGCTGCCGGATTCGTGTCTGGAAGAATGTATAAGAGTAAGTATTACATCCGCTCTCATTCCAGTAGGTTCGTGTGTTCAATGTTGAAATGAAAAGGCTGTAAAATACAACATTTGAGACTTGCGTGGGGCGTTTTAGCCGACCCGTCTAAAGGTACCTGTGTCCTGGTTACACGGTAGCCCTGAGGTGGACTGAATCAAGCGGCGACAGTAACTATTCTGTCTTTTCCTTCCTCAGCACTTAAAGGTGTTCAATGGAAGACAAATTTTTTGCTGACGGCACTATTATGTCCTGGGTGAGTATTGCATGTTCGTTCTCTTTTCTCTGTGCAATTATACTCTTCCTTAGGCTTCGTCTTGGAGAAATCACTGTAGGCGATAATGAAGGGTCAGAGGGAGACGAGCGGCCACCGGGTTTCCCGGAGTGGCAGCGTGTTCCCTCCGTGGCATCTGCATTCCTTTCATCTCTTTGTACGGCATGACCTCGAGTACAAAGCGATGGTCACGGTGCTGCTGTATTGAATTTTGAGCTTCGGTCTCGGAGCACGTTTCATAAATGCTCACCTCAGTTACACATGTTGCGCTACGTGTCATGTTAGAATGGCAGTTTAGGCACCACCTCGTGTCAGTCCCCTGGTCGCTGCCTTCTGTGCTTATTTCTTCCCGTCTCCCCTAGTGACTGCAGTTTGGAGGTAGAGTCACTGTCCAAGCGGGGGCCGCACAGGGGCTGTGTGAGTAGTGCTGTCAGTCCCTTAATTATAGAGGCGCAGGATGGGCGGCCAAGCCCGGGAGCCAGGGTTCAAGGTCACACGGGATGTCAGTAATAGAACGCTCTCCATAACCGAATGTCCACACTGCATCATGTCCCGGGCTCTTCCCACAGAACCTCGCTTAGGGTTTCATCTCTTTAGTCAGCTGGGGCTGCCATAACAAAACACCATAGACTGGGTGGGGGGGAGGTGCTAAAACCAAAAATTCAGAGTTGATTTCTCATAGTTCTAGAGGCAGGAATGTTGGAAAGCAGGGCACCAGCAGGGTTGGGTCCTTGGGAGAACCCTTTTCCTAGCTTGCTGACCACTGCCTTCTTGCTGTTTCCTCACAGGGCAGGCAGAGACAGTAACGTCTGTGGTGTTTCCTCTCGTAAAGGCACTAATGCCATCATGAAGGCCCCACTCTCCTGACCTCATCTAAGCTTAATCACTTCCCAAAGGCCCCACCCCCACATACCATTACCTTATGGATTAGGGCTTCAATATATGACTTTGGGGAGGGGGACACAACTCAGTCTGTAGCACGTTTCATTTCTAACATTCTTTCCTTGATATGTTCTGAAGGAAAAAGTCTTTTTAAAAAATGTTTATTTATTTTGAGAGAGAGAGAGAGAGACAGCACAAGTGGGTGAGGGGCAGACAGACAGAGGTGGAGAGAGGATCCCAATCCTCACTGTCCGTGAGGAGCCCAATGCTGGGCTCAATCCCACGAATCATGAGATCATGACCTGAGCTGAAATCAAGAGTCAGATGCTTAACTGACTGAACCACCCAGGTGCCCCATCCTTTTTTTTTTTTAAAGGAAAAACTAGGGGCGCCTGGGTGGCTCAGTCGGTTAAGCGTCCGACTTCGGCTCAGGTCACGATCTCGTAGTTTGTGGGTTTGAGCCCCGTGTCGGGCTCTGTGCTAACAGCCAGCTCAGAGCCTGGAGCCTGCTTTGGATTCTGTGTCTCCCTTTCTCTCTGCCCCTCCCCCACTCGTGCTTTGTCTCTCTCTCTCAGAAATAAATAAATTATAATTTTTTTAAAAAAAGGGAAAACTAGTGGATTATGTTTTGTCATGTGGTACTTTGATTCCTATTTGTTACAAAATTCCCATGTCCTTGATGCTAGAAGTATGTCCCCATAGTGGAAGACGTCCTATAATGAAAGTTATACATAGTGGATTCAGTTACATTATATGCTGATTAGGGAACAAAGGGAGAGCACATGCTTTTGGAATGCTCTGTGACTGCGTATAATGCCATATATGATGCAATACAGCGATAGATTCTGTAGATCCATAATCTTTTGTCTCCATGTGACTCGTTTCCCTTGAAACTCCAGGGAAAAAGATGAGAGCATTGAAAGGATTGAACATTACGAGTTTGTCCATCAAATACAGGAGCCTCAGAATTTTTGACTTATTGAAAATAAGGACAGCGCACTCCCCTCCCCCTCCCCACCTTGAATAGAGCCATCTGCTTTTTCTGTAACTCTTTTCAAGGGAACTAGAATGGGTGGTCTTTTCTGAGGTGAATGCTTCATTACATTTATGTAAGAAAGCAACATCCTTGACGATATTTCAGATATCTGTTGTTTCAAGTTCAAGACACAAATGAATCCCAAACTGAATAAATTTGGCAACAAAGGGCCATTGTGCAGGAGTCATTATACTGGATTGTCCTACGAGGGATATCACGTGCAAGAACCAGTCCATAAACCATTCACTATTCACTGCATTAGTTAGCTACTCATTCGACAGACTTACTGTGGTCTTTCTGGTTTTGTTTTGTTTTTGTTTTTACTCTATTTAAAGCATTATCCTCGGCACTGTAGAGGACATAAATACAAATTGCCTCCGAAACTCTGTCTTCATGGCTTAAGATGATTAATAATGGCCCAGTTTTCATCACACAGATGTTCTATCTTCTTGTAAAAAGAAGTTACGTCATTGAAATAGAAAATGTAAAAGAATTAGAATATACCATATCGCTAAGCTTCATGAGCCGAATTGAACAATTAATGTCTGAAAAGCATTAGCATTGCCAATGCACTATGAGCTGTTTTCATCATGTTTTCTATGGGATTGATTTTGAAGAATGTGTTACACAGAAAAATTTAAAAATTTGAGTAGAAGTCCACAATAACACAGCTCAGGTTCACATGGACTACGAAATGATGTAGTGTCAAGACCCTGTTTTGTAAAAGTAAAAAAAAAATTAATTTGAAAAACAACTGGTAATAGTGGCTGTGTCCTGGGTGGGTTTTGGGGGGGCTGGAGGACAGGAGTGTGAAGGAGACTATTTATGTTAGATTTACTTTTCTTTTTTTTTTTTAAGTTTACTTATTTATTTTGAGAGAGAGAGAGAGTCCAAGCAGGACAGGGGCAGAGAGAGAGAGAGAGAGAGAATCCCAAGCAGGCTCTGCACCAGAGCCCAGCGCGGGGCTTGAACTCAGGAACTGTAAGATCATGACCTGAGCCAAAGCCAGATGCTTAACCAACTGAACCACCCAGGCGCCCCCACTCTCTCTCTCTTTCTTTCTTTTTTTTTTTACCTTTTGCATCATGTGCCATATGCACATGTTACCTATTTTTAAGCAATTTCATTATAAACAACAGTAATGAGAACTCAAGACCTCATATTAAAGTGGAGAGGTAGCGGTAGGAGCAAACAGCACAGGCTGTCAGACTCACGCGCGTGCGTGCACACATGCACACATGCACACATGCACACATGCCTGCGTAGCCTCCACCGCATACATATACAGTGGTTCATTTCCAAATTCTACCTCCTTCTAGTTACCAGGCCTTGAGCACGTTGTGAACAATGCTTCAATGAACATAGGGTGCACGTACCTCTTGGAGATCTTTGTCTTCTGTTGTGTTAAATATTTTCTGCTGCACCATTTCTGTTCCCTTGTCATCTTTTACTATTTTTTTGAGTTATCTTCTTAGTGGTTACCAGATGACAATTCGTGTCTCAATTGACACCCATGTAGTTCGGATTAACAACAACTTAATTTCAATATTACACAAAACTTTGCTCCTGTGAAGTTCCTTTCTCACCCCCCTTCTTTGTACTGTTCCTGCCATACAAATTACATCTTGATACTTTGTATGCTCATCCACACAGATTTAAAATGATGGCGCTAGGCAGTTGTCTTTTAAATTCGGCGAAAAAGGGCTTCTAATACTATTTACTAATCATGGCACATTGGGAAAGTGATTTTCCCTCTCTAATCTTGGGTTTCCTTATGTGTAGTATGGAGATAATGGCATCCTCTTCCTCCTGGATGAGCTGTGAGGACTAAACGGGATAACATATGTAATGCATTTGGAACAGTGCCTCACACATACTGAGTGCTCGATGAACGGTGGCTGTGGTCATTAGCAGCTCTTCTGCTATCAAGCCTTTGCTTATGCTGTTCCATCATTTTTTGTTGTTGTTGTTCCACTTTTTTGTAATCTCTTCTTTCCAATCCGCCAATGCCAAATTTCTATTCGTTTTTTTTTTTTTTTTTTTTTTTTTTTTTTATGTCCTGGCTCAAATGCTACCATTTCCATGTTTGAAATTGTACTGTGTCTATTTTTTTTTTATGTCCTGGCTCAAATGCTACCATTTCCATGTTTGAAATTGTACTGTGTCTATTACCATTACTATACTACTTACCACAGTGTTCCTTAGATTACAGTTATTTCTGATGCCTTATCTCATTCTGCATTCTAAAATGTGTGAGGGTGACTACTATGTCTTATTCATTTCTGTATCTTTCACAGTGTGTAACCAAATGCCTTATACAGAGTATAAGTGCCTTATATGGAGTAAGTACTCAGTAAATAGCCACAGTCTGAATCAAGTGAATAATTTAAAAGTGCCAAACAAATTCAGTTTCCTAATTCTGTTAGTAGAACTAAATGCAAAGAAAAATTTTAAAAATTATTTTATTTTAAAGAGAGAGAGAGTGAGTGGGGGAGAGAAACAGTGGGAGAGAGAGAGAATCTTAAGCAGGCTCCATGCTCAGTGCAGAGCCCAATGAGGGGCTCGATCTCATGACCCTGGGATTGTGACCTGAGCCGAAATCAGAAGTCGGATGCTCAACTGACTGAGCCACCCAGGCGCCCCTGGATGCAATTTTAAAGCAATAAGCCAGGCATGATACAAAGGATACGTTTCCCTCGAGTGGTTTAGGGGGCTCTCTTACGTAGATGAGAGAAAATCATAAGGTACTGGCATTCTTATTTCTCAGACAGTAGTAGGTTGAAAGAGAACTTCAGTACCTCACAGTACATAAGTGTGTGAGTAGCTGATACAAACGGGCAGTGTAAAAGTGGCTTTAAATTTATTATTATTTTTAAATTAGGCTTTAAATTTAAAAGGAGAAGAATTTAGACTAGTGAACACATATGCTCCCTAAAAGAAACTAAAGAAAGTAAAATTTTTAAACTAGATATGTCTCCATGCAACCTCAAAAGTGGTAGAAAGGAAAAGGAAGAGGTAGCGTCGTTTGATGCGCATGCGCCCAAACCTTACAATTAGAAGGAGC